TTAGTTGCTAGCAATTTTCATGGAATATCAAATCTGTGTTAACCCAAAAGAAGAATTCCGGATGCTGAGCTGACTTAGAACTGGGTGTTTGTTACGGCTTTCTGGGACCATAGCACATTTCATGTTACAAACCAGACTTCCTTTTTTATTCTGACATTGTCATTGTAAACCTCCTTCCGTGATTCTGATCAACAGATGTGTTCTCCCACCCTTTTCCGTCCAAGTATGATGGATGACCGTTGACCTCCGCGTTGATGTTTTCTGTTCCACTGTTTTTAAACTGAAACTTAAAGTTGTATTAAGGGAAATGCTTGAAATTAGTTGCTTTTCTTGTCCCATAGGAGTTTTCACACAACTGGATCGATTTACGGTTTATGGAAAGATAAGGAATGTCACATGTCTAAGGACGTACCATTGCTTGGAACAAAGTTTAACCGGATATTTTGTAGACAACATGACAACAATTGAGGTCATTCCATCCGTTGATGATGCGGGTGTGAATTTTGTATTTAATTCTTATGAAAACAGTGTTATCCCAATACATAGGAACATCTCCAAAAACGCTAATCGGTACTGAACTCATTATTTTAATAACGTTTGCACCATATTACTGCACTTTTCCCGACTTATGTGGTGTAAACATCAAACTGTGAAATTTAGTTGCATTCATCAACCGCATTGCACAAACTCAACTTAGCCTTGCTAAAGCATTTACGGAGCCATCTGAATAGGACAGGTACCTTCAGCGCCAACAACATAAGCCAATATAATATTTTATAATGGTTTCACATTCTAGCTCAAATTTCACAGAAGGCATATCACGAACAATATTCCCCAAGTTGATGATTGAGCTATCCACAGATAATGCCAACCAAAGTGGGGTCAAATCCGACCTTTCTGACAAACAGTTTCGACAGCACAGTTATCAATTCATTTTACCGAGCACTTACCTCTTTATTGTGCTGTCTGAGGCGTGTAGTGATGCTAGACAGGCAGGGGTTGTTTTGCCCGTTTGCTTATCACTCTCAATGCTATTCCTCCGCCTCTGGCTGAAAGCTATAATAGTATACTTGTAAGAAGCAAACTAATAGCGTGTGTTCTTTTCAGGACCGATCTCCGTAAAGGTCTTTAAATAATGAATGCCTTTCACGATACCTAATATCGAGGTGAATGTACCATAGTATCACGAACGAATACCACTAATAAACAGGTTCTTATAGATCAAGCAATAAACGTTACTTGAATTATGCATTCGTTACAAAACGATAAACAGAAAAACGTACTACTGTTTTTGAAGGATGAAGCAGTGCCAAAAATTTAACGTTCCCGGTGTCTATGATGCCAGCTTGGTTGATAAGCAGTTATACAATTTGTGGTGTAAAACGAGGGGAACATAAAATTATACCGTAAAACTTTGTGAAATCTAACAATGAAACCCTTTCCGAATCCGTGCATTGCCAACTTATGTTACTCAATATCAGCCGAATTGCGCATCCAATAAAAGCCATACTTTAATATTCAGAAGAAATGAATCACCTCCCACTTTTATGTGATAAATTCGGTCAACCCCTTTCCACTCCATTAGACCCATGGTTAACTCCTTCCGAAATGAACCATATTTAATGGAGTGCACGATTCGATTGAGGCTTTCAGTATTGCTTCGCAGCAAAGGTTCTGTCCCGTTATTTATCTTCTTCCTTTGCTACATTTCAGTGAAAAGCGAATAACACTAGTTTTGGTAGTTAACGGATGTTTTCTGTTGCATTACTTGTCATTAGGTGTGGAAAACGTGTTTCAATGAGGCACTGCAGTGCAACCTCATTTGAGACAACGTGCTAGAACTCATTTTATGCTTGATTTCACCAATTCAACTTTCAAGTTGCATTATGACCGAGTAACCGAAAAACATATGACCCTACACTGGCAGGTGGCAAAACACACAGAGATCTAGTAAGCTTGGATAATGGCAGACATTTTATCTGCAGCTTTTTTCCAACCTCCAGTTGGATCTGCAACGAGATGACCTGTGATGTAACCAGTTATTTAGTCATTTTTGCGCAGCAATGAGTAATATGCGGTCACGGCTAACGATACATGAATACCTTTCAATGCCAAAACTCATTATTGGAAATACAAACGTGGTTGCGATTTTGCAAACAGGTTCTCAAGTAAGTGTTCGGGACAAAGTGATTGCACATCATGCGGGGTATATCGACCAAATATTGCTATTTTACCAGAATTAAAAGACTGATTAAAATGAAGAGAGAGAGAGATCACTGAATGTCCGGGGTCGCGTTCAAGGGATATACGTTCATGGTTTTCTGAACCCGAAGTTATGCAAATGAGCCCAATTTATTCACACCCTGGTATGACCATGACCGAAAAATGCATAGATCCTATTATTTTTTGCAAATAGGTAACAGATAATTTAATCCCAACCATTATGTTCCCACCCATATCTCACGGAGTCGCTCGCACAAATGACCTTCAAATAGCATAACGCTGTAGAAAACCAGGAGTGTCCATACAGCTTTAGATCGGTCAAACGGTCGTTTAGAAGACTTCTTTCGGATTTGACAACATTGCCAATTCCAATTGTTCAATAGAACCGATGACATTTTTTATCAAAGCTACACTATTCTAGGAAGAAAACTGAAACATGCATACTGCATGAGCTCGCTTCAAACAATAGCCGAGACTGAAATCCCAAGTAAACCGGAAACTGTCCGCCAGAATCGTCAATGCTTATTTGATCATTTATGTGTCCTCAATCAAAATCAAATCTCACTTCGTGACATACAAAGATTAGACGGTGTCTGCAAGGGTCTGCTCCTGCATTTCAGCCAAGAAAATGTCCACCGTTACAAAGGGTAGTTGTCGTGTTGGTATGTGACGAAGAATGACCAGAAGGCGGTTTATCTATCTACATGTATGTGCTAATTTCGTAAATAAAAATTCTGTTTGCTTGTATTGCTCACTGAATCGAGTAGTGTTATATCACGATTGAAAATTTCATGACTCGCTCGGCTACAAACCATGAATCTGTTTGCTGTGTGAAAATGACAGGTGAATGAATCAAAGCTGGGAGAATAACTGATATAGTCAACAGGTTTAAGGACGCAATCATCACCCAGAGTTTAACCAAATATATTCGAAAAGGAGTAACAGTAACATTGTAAAACTATTGTTCCTGCCTCCGATGACAGAATGATGGCTGAGAAATCAGTTCAGTTCGGTTTTGACAATCATTATTATGCACTTTTGTGCACCAGTTACGATTGCTGTCTCATCACTGTCCATTTGGTTGAAGGATCAAATGAAACATTAGAATGTTCTAATTATTGTTAGAAAGAAAGTCTAAGGGTACAAATAACTTAACCGTATAAGTCGGTGTCACTAACTTTTCATCACTCTGAGCCAGCTGTCACCATCCAAGAAGCCTATGCGAGCAAGTTACCTGGTCATGACTTTTATCCCAGGTCTGCGTTTGACCATCCTTTACTTTTTCTTACACCGGGCAAACCTCAGCAAACAGCAAGCGGAGTGACAATCGATTTGGTGACATGCGCAAATCAAGTCAAACAAAGCGTTGCACACCAGAAGGGTGAATTTTCAGCGAGTTTCACCGGAAAACAGTGAAAATGGGGGGGGGGACGCAAGCGTGTGAATGGAGTGCAAGAAAACGACAGAACTGCGAGCAGGAAGATGATGGTAATAATCTGACCAACAAATAAATAAACTAACTCATGAGATGTTCCATCACACCTGTAATGGGCGGTGATGGCCTAGTGGTCTCCAAATTATCACCCCACGGGTGTGGGTTCGAATCCCACCACCCGCGCCTGGCTTTCTCCTTTGTGTTGAATGGTAGTCCTTTGATTAACCTCTTTCGACCGGATAATTGTATATTCAAGAAAGAAAGTAAAAAATGAAAAGAAAAAATGAAGTAATCATTGATGCGCGGTTCAGTAAAATGTGTGCAATGTAAGAGAGGATGCGGTTACCGTATGGGATGATGCGTGGGACAGTGAGTTTATAATGGGACATGGGTCGGGGATTTGACATGTATTTAAGTAGATTTGTGGGCCATGTTGGTCGTTGTTTACAATTCTGTCAGCTATGTTCTCACATGAGTCGATATAATTGCACACAATAAAATCAACCAGGACCTTTCTGGCTATGCTACTAGATCGAGAAAGGAGTTATACAAATCTGGAAATTAAAATAAAATCATTTTCTTTCACACGGGAGACAAATACAGGCGAACAGTTTGCCAGGTTGCCACCACGAATTTGAAAATCACATTTCGGGAAAGCAAGCTTTCTAAGCCTGCGAGCGTAAAAAGAAAGTTTATGAACCCTACATGAGATAAACAACATAGAGAACAAGCTTGTTTCCGTAACTTCGTCCTCAGGCATTTACAGTTTTGTGTTTACATTTAACATAGAAATAAATGTGATTGGTCCACTGAGGTTAAATGTGAAAGTACAACAATATCTGTCAAGTTTAATCGGAAAAAACGAAGAAAACGGGGAGGGAAGGGGGACCAAGGTCGATTCTGGAACTTTCCGATGATCTTTTTCACGTGCGACTTAGCACACTATGTTACGTCATCATGATGTAAATGAGGTCATGGTTCGGATCGTCACGTAGGTTTGAGTGGGGCCAAGATAACTGGAGTGCGGCAACCATTTTCTTCTGTTTGCACAATGTTGGGTTCATGATTCCGATTGCTACAGCTTATGTCGTTGCCAAGTGACGTTGCCGAACATACTTCTACTTGTTTTGAGGCACTTTGTAATTGACTTAAAATGCATCGTTGTCTGTATTTTAACAGGTATCAGCGACGTGAGCCACGATTGCAATTGTTATTGTTTTCTTGTAACCCACGCTAAGCCAAGGCGGTTTATGTTATCTGATCCTTGGTGGAACTTGTCTCATTGTTCCTACATGTGCGAGAAAATAAATATGTAATCATGGATGGGGTGAGCATGGACACGTTATCCTTGAGGCCTGTGCAGAGCTGTGGCCGGCTTGTAAAAATCGCACGCAGTGTAGCGGCTGGNGGTTCGTTCAATCGCTTTGTCTAAACGTCTTATTAGAAGATTACCACTCGTACCGCCTTTGAACGGCAGCTGCAAGAAAAGTTCTTTCTTTTTGACCGTGATTGGCTTTTGCAGCGTCGGCTTTTCTACGAAGTTATTCTCGATGAAACGCTCCAGGTATCCGTTATTCAGGAGTGCAGATTTGATGATTCGTAGTTCTACTTCCGCTAGGTCCTTGGAGCAAATCATCTGGATTCTGAAGGCCAGACATTGGACTAAGTTTCCGTTAAAGTCGATTGGGAAGAAACTTTTGAAATGAATGTACTGACCGTTCCATGTTGGTTTGCGAGAAATTGAGCGGCATAACTTTCCTCTGAGCCCGTTCTTCAGGTTCACATTGAGGAAGTGAAAAGAATCCTGATCTTCTGCTTCAGTTGTAAAGCTGCTTGACGGGTGAGCTCAGTTAAAACGATCCAATATCATGTTCGTTTGAATAATTTGAATGGAAATGATAAAAATACGATCGAAATAACTGCACTCTGGTGGGAGTTAATGAATGATATCCCGTAGGTCATTGTTTTCCAGTTTGGAATGCATTCACATGACTAGTCCAGAAAAGGTTGTGGGATAGAACGCCTCCGANCCGAGGTATTTGACAGTCAGCTTTGAGAATGCTATGGATGTTAACGATGAAATCACGTAAATCATTAAAATTTGCTCAATAATGGATGCCTGATTTAAGGTTGAAGGGAATATCCGCACCTTTAGAGACATTAGGTATAAGCGACCGGATCAGGAACCAACTAAAAACATCTCTTATACTTTCTTTTAGTTGGTGGAAAGTTAGATCGCTATTGAAGAGGCATTCAATTACCACATCGTCAGCATAATTAAGGCCATAAAGTAGGCAGTGACACGGGATAATAAGGAATGGAGATCAAATGCGCCCTGAAAGACACCAGAGTTAACGTAAAAAGAAGATGAAGTTTTACCATTGTATGAGATAAGTTGTATCCTAAAAGGGAAGTAGTTCACAAGAACGTTTGACATGTCGGTTCCTAAGCCAAAGTCAGCAAGAAGTTGAATGAGAATGCGACGGTCAGGCAAACCAAAGGCGTTGGCATAATCTATAAGTACACGGCGAATAGATCCACCAATCCTGTCTAAAATCAAAGCCACAGAGTGAACAACAAAAAGCGACGGCTTCAGCATCCAAAAGGGGATGTTTATAGGCAAACTGAAGAAAACCGAGAACATCAGGAGGGTAGTCATCCGGTTCAACAGAATTATTTCAAAAACGTTTGGCACAGTTAAGGCATGGTAACCGGTCGATAATTTGGGAATGTACATTACTCGACAGCCTTTGAACAAACCTGGATTGTTACGATGACATGCGCAAATTGCACAACTCGACAATGGATGTTTCGAGGTGTTCCGCAACGGTTTTCGGAATTTGAACTGGATGGGGCAGGGAGTCGTTGACTTAGCTCTTCTATGTCATGATAGGATCTTCCACATTTATCACAGCTTTGCTTCACCGCCGACCAAAACTTGCAAATGCTCTGATTGCCCAGAATGGTTTTGGCATACATCTGGCTCAAGCGCTGAACTTCTTCCCTAATGCAAATCAATAGCCATTTAACATTGCTACCATTCATGTATGGTTGTTTTAGAGCAGGCGGTAGAAATCCGTCAGGACGGACGTGAACACTCTCAATGGGGAAATAGAATTGGAAACAGAAAATAGCAGGTGAGATGTTCGCGCCTGTAAGAATTATTGGAAGTGGAGAAAACATAAAAACGGGTTTAGGAGATCATATCTTGGAGTCTCGTTAGGTGATCGAGGGCACAATTCCTCCTTCTCATTGTCCGTGACACTTACTGTGCATTTTGACGGTGATGAATTTCACCATATATTTTAGGATGCAAAAGAAGGTCAGCGTTATTACCGGACTCGCTTTTCTATAAACAAGACCAATAGGATATTAAACTGGGCTTCCAGTGGAGTGGAGATATACACAGGATTAAAACGCCTATAGTTTTTAAGAAAGAAATACCAAAATAGTTATTAGTACCAGCCTTAATGCTGAAGGACTGGTCAAAGCTTGTCACGAATTGTGTCAAGAGAGAGTTAGAAAGCATCCTTATGTCAGAAGTAGGAGTGTTAGGGGCAATGCAAATTTTTCCTAGCATGATATGATGGAATTGACTAAGAAGTCGGAGTTAACATTGAACGACAATGCAGCTGATTTTTCGGGTATTAGAACTAATTAAAAATGAGAGTTGTTACACCTCGTATGGCTGACAAAAGTAACTACTCCGTCATCTCTAGTATTAACGTTCATATCCCGATCACCTTGAAAGTGATCAAATCTATCAAGCCGGACCACACTGTCCTCAATTCCTGGAGCATAGTAATTCCAAAGTATTTGGACACATTTTCTTGCGTTGGACTTCATCAATTTTTCCCATGAATGAGCGGATGCTATTGGAAACAATAACGGGAACGGTCAATCTGTTGATGAAAAGCCGCCTAAGAGCGATTTTCCAAAGAGCGCGACGTTTCATTGTTAGTCTTTGTTCCGTCTTCCTAAATCGATTGTCGCGATTTCTCACACAATGCGCCATCGGCAAAAATTCTTGTTCACATGCGATAAAACGCACGAATGTCAAAAATGTGAGAACACAGGACAGAGTTTTACCTTGAAAAATAAATAAATTTGATTCAGATAAGAATGTCGAGAAGATCACGTATGTTTTCATTGTAACTCGCGAAACTTATCCAATTGTAGTATAAGCACGACCGAAATTGAAAGATCCGCACCGCCCCAGTCTACAAAGACCGACCACCCACTTAGCTGGGCAACCACGAATAACTAAAACAATGCGGTTGACCTCAACATTGCTCGTCCGGAGAAGTTGTCCAAATCGTCAAACATTGATAACCTAATTTTCAATCAAATTTTATATTCGGTAACTAACGGATAATTTTAACTCCATTTATCTGATGTACAGTCAATAAATATGGAGGCGTCTGAGGCAAATTGTAAGCGATCTGGCAAACACAATAAGCGATGGGAAGAAAGTTAGCAGCGACGTAAAACTGTGAAAACGGAGAAAATTGATTCATTTTACGTTAGTAATTTCGTCCACTTCTGTTTCATCCTTTTCCATACCTCTTTGGTTCGTTGAAATATCTGGTATTTGTTCTAATTTCTGCGTCACCACAGAACTGTACCGTTTGATAGCTTTTCTATTCTCCATGTTATGTTTCATTATACCTTTCACTACAGTCCAATCGATGACGTGTTTCTGTTGTTAAAACAAGTGTAATTGTTTTCAGTTTACTGTTATTTGATAACACTGGTTGATATCATTCTGGCCCTAAGGTTTATGGTAATGATCTCTTCTGTTGGATTACCAAACATGTAGCCACCACTATTAGTTAAACACTTGTATCAGGTAAAAGGTACAGTTCGCACTATCGCATAGAACGAAGGTAAAGAATTTATCGGGGTGCATTGGTTCCACATGACATCCCTCCACTTGAAATTCAACAGAAACCGGGAAGTTTTTACTTGCTCCACGTTTCGTGGCTAACAACTGGGCACGTTTTTTGCTGCTGACACCGCGTGTGGGCAAAATGTGACGAAAAACTTTGCCGTTAGTCTCACGTGGGAAAATTAAAAAAAATAATCCGTTCTGTTTGTAATCGCACCCCCTCCCCTGGTTGGACCCAAGGACCGACTAAATGGATAGAAATCAGATTTGTCATAATTGAGGGGTTTTTCGTTCATCGTTCGCTGTCAAGTTTTCCCACATCTGGTTGTCACATTGTAATACGTGGTCGTGCATACTGTTGCTTCATATCGAGTGGACATATTCAGTAGTTTATGCGTAACAGCTAGAATTGTAAAACATTTACCTTTGCAAGCCCTGGAAATNTTGGAAAAATAAAACTTTTGCGACTTATTTCTCTACAGATCGCCGCAATCCGAGAGGAAGACAGAAACAAAAAGGTGACTAATATCCTGTATAATTGGACTTTTTGGATTCATATTTTTCATTTGGTTTTGATTTCATCGTTTCACATGGGCTTATTTTTGTTCCGTTATTTAAGCCATTGAAGGTTCTTGTAATTAAGAACACAATGTAGGCGAATATGTTTTCAATGAATTCTTTTTTAAGCCTTTGCAATCAGTTTTATATGAAACAATTTCAATAGCATCAAACAGACAGTTGGATGAATCAACTGTTTGATAGTGAGCTCGAGAGAACTCCAAACTTCACGCTATTTGGATTACGCTATGTTACGACATGATCTTAAGAGCAAGCAATTTTCTCTTTCCTTGACAAGGGGAGTTTGAGCGCTTGGAACACTTTTTGTTTTGCACACAGCTCAGGCTTGATGAATCGGATGCGGTTGCCAACATCCGAAACCGTGTTACTCTCGAGGAGTGTGGCGAGACTCTATAAATAATTCTTAATGCCAAGCGCATGTCAAACAAGTGTCCCGTTTCTGCCAGATGAGCAGCGATCGAGCTTGACATAGCTCCACTCTCGCGCTGTGTATGCCGGCTTGAATTGTGTTGTTTGATCCGTTGAGATAACTGCCTCGTCTGTCTACTTGCATAAGTCGCACCATAGGTACACCTGAATTGATAGACAAGCATAGATGAAATCATTATAGGCAGCTTATCTTTTTTGTAGCATCGGATGTTCGATGACGTGGAGAACAGGCAACGTAGTTGAGCGGCATTAAATGTGGACTGGCATGGGTGCATAAAATTCTACTGATCGTGTGAATGGCGACATCATCTTTGAATGGAAGTTTTATAAAAAAGAATTTTCTTCTCCGCCTTTAGTATTTTGGTTGGCTTATTCGGTTCAGATCATCTGCGGTCGATGAACTTCTCAGGAAAGCCATATTTCAGTAAGAGCCCCCTCACTAACGCAAGTTTGTTCTTTACAATATTTTCCGAACAGATGTGTCTTTGTCTCTGTAGGAGGTAGCATCTGAGGTTACGTTTTTGATAGAGTGGGGAGAAGCTATGGAACTTTGTGTACTGTGCACTCCATGCTTTTCGATATGTCTTTCTTTGGATAGAGCCATCGGGGCGTCTAGTCAGACGAACATAAAAACACAGAAAGATATCTTCTTCCTCTGGTTCGGCTGTGAACCTAATTGACGAATTTGCTGCGTTGACTTCTGACTCGACATGGGCAAGATTAGTATGCTTGTTAGCCAC